TCTTTGACTACTAGTACTGTAAGTCATAATCCGACTCATGATATGTATTCTTGATTGCCTAGAAACAATAAACTTCCGGTGTAAACTGCGTACGACCAGATTACAAATCCGCATTTCATCTTCGGTATCTACTGGATTGAATACACGCCGACCTCGAGTATGTATACCTATTCCCCTAGGAGAAACAAGCAAGGTCAAGCTTGGCAGCCAATCGGCTTGTGGATTCACACCAGTAAGGCCAGTAAGGCATCGTTACTGGTATGCTCCCTTGACCGGTCGATGATGCATTATGGTAAAGAGGGGTACTTTGCTTTGAGCCTCTCCATGCCTAGAAAGGAGTTTCCGAGGACAACACGCGCTGAGCCGATCCTTTTGGTGGCTTGTTGATGTTGCGATAACTTCATTTGCACGCGTGTTTTGTTGACATGAATATCTATACTCCGTACCTTGGTCAAGTACTCAGCATCAAGTCCGGAGACTCCGGACCCAGATGGCTTGAAAATGCGGGGTCTTGATGGGACAGTGACATTGAGGTGACAGCGCGCTCATCCCTGCTGCATCAGCGCATGGTCTTGCTTCTGTCATGTCATTGATGCTTTAACAGGTTTTACTTCGAGTGTTCGAATGTAAACCGAGAAGCCGAGTCATGGTGGCTTGACGGGAATGAGCCATGGGTATCTAGACTTATCGGGATTGCGGTCTGGGACTGGAGCCTCAGGCCACGGGCATTCCCCGGAATTAATTGTGTAATTTGATCCTCTCCTGTATCGACCGTACGAAGCGCACTACATTGAACATTGCTTGACATGGCAGTATATACCAGAGCTTGAGAAATTAGAGATTTAAAGCGCATATTCGGATCCGAATGCGAAATGTATTTGAATCTAACGTAGAGCTGTCCATGGTATTACCCAGGTACGACAGGTACCAACCATAGGTACGCGCTAGTCTTACCCCGTGTCTCCGACGTCTCCAGTTTTCGGCTCCAGAAAAACAAAAAACATCGTCATCATCTGAGCTCCATTAGTCTCAAGTCGTTAACCAGAAAAGAATGGTCCAACAACAGCTCATTACAACTCAAGTTACAGAGAGTATTGTATTTCATTGTCGAGATCATTTATCGCCTCCAGTTACGAAATGAGAGAGGCCAAATCTTGCCAACTTGACCTACCTCTCTGTACCTTTGATGATCTGTACTCCTTGGAGGTACCGGGCCGAAGGATCTAGTACAAATAATCGGGCCACATTCCTCCCCGTGCTGTACCATTCAGTCGCTTACTGCGTACCTTACCTTGCTCTCATGGCATGGATAACATGGAAGTTGAGAACCGTGATTGCTTCTTTCTAGCACAGTTCCACAATCCTCTCGATTGGGAAGCCAGATGTCGATCACCAATGCCATCTCATTATTATTTCCGACGCCCAAGTGGCAAGTGGTACCTGCCTTTCCTAGTACATGACTACATGTGGGCTTTTTTGCTGTCCCTTGCCCGCCCTTGGGTACCTTTGCCCAGACATTCGTACATCATCGTGCAACCCCATAGGTAGTAATATCTTAAAATCATAGTAGTCACTGTCTCTCCCTGCCTCTCTTTTTTTGGACTGGTTATTAATATCCTGTTCCCCCCTTTTCCCTCCCCCTCTTCCTCATTCCTCTCTTGCCCAACTAGAGCTGTGTGGTCGATCGTTTCTTTTCTGGCTACATACACCCTGCTCAGCAATGAGGTTCGGTTGGCTCGAGGTCGCCGCTCTGACGGCTGTTTCTGTAGCCAATGCCCAGGTTTGTACTGCTTTTCCGTCTTTGTTTCGACCGTAGTTGACAATACTTCTGGGAATAATTAGGAATTGGCTTTCTCTCCACCATTCTACCCTTCGCCTTGGGCTGATGGCAAGGGAGAGTGGGCGGATGCCTATAGACGCGCCGTCGAGATCGTTTCTCAGATGACACTGGCGGAGAAGGTTAACCTTACAACGGGTACTGGGTGGGTTGAGACTTCCTTGTGGACAGTGAACTTTCTTCACTGACAATTTACGTAGATGGGAAATGGACAGATGTGTCGGCCAAACGGGCAGCGTTCCCAGGTAGGCTTGCAATTCTGCAGCAACGTGCAAATTTAGTTGCTAAAACGCGGTGGTGCAGACTTGGTATCAACTGGGGTCTTTGTGGCCAGGATTCGCCTCTGGGTCTCCGTTTCTGTAAGCCATGCCTGCGGAGACTTTCAGTTCCTATATTATGTGCTGATGACTGTATCTGTATAGCTGATCTCAATTCCGCCTTCCCTGCTGGTACTAATGTCGCCGCGACGTGGGACAAGACACTCGCCTACCTTCGTGGAAAGGCCATGGGTGAGGAATTCAACGACAAGGGCGTCGACATTCAGCTGGGGCCTGCTGCTGGTCCTCTCGGCAAATACCCCGACGGTGGCCGAATCTGGGAAGGCTTCTCTCCCGACCCGGCTCTCACTGGTGTACTTTTTGCGGAAACTATCAGGGGTATCCAAGACGCCGGTGTGATTGCTACTGCCAAGCATTACATCCTGAATGAACAGGAGCATTTCCGACAGGTTAGCGAGGCCCAGGGATATGGATACAACATCACGGAGACTGTCAGCTCCAACGTAGATGACAAGACCATGCATGAGTTGTACCTTTGGTGAGTAGTTGAAACCTCAAACGAGGAGGACCTTTAACTGACCCGGAATGCAGGCCCTTTGCAGATGCTGTGCGAGGTAAGATTTTCAGCAGACTTGACTCGCGACGAAGAAATCACTGACGAACCGTCTATAGCTGGTGTCGGCGCTGTCATGTGTTCCTACAACCAGATCAACAACAGCTACGGTTGCCAAAACAGTCAGACTCTCAACAAGCTCCTCAAGGCCGAGCTGGGCTTCCAGGGCTTCGTCATGAGTGACTGGAGCGCTCACCACAGCGGTGTCGGCTCTGCCCTCGCTGGGTTGGATATGTCCATGCCCGGAGACATTGCCTTCGACGACGGCCTCTCCTTTTGGGGCACGAACCTGACTGTCAGTGTTCTTAATGGCACCGTTCCAGCTTGGCGTGTCGATGACATGGCCGTTCGTATCATGAGCGCGTACTACAAGGTCGGCCGCGACCGTCTTCGTGTTCCCCCCAACTTCAGCTCCTGGACACGGGATGAGTACGGCTGGGAGCATTCTGCTGTCTCCGAGGGAGCCTGGACCAAGGTCAACGACTTCGTCAAAGTGCAGCGCAATCACGCTCAGATCATCCGTGAGATTGGCGCAGCTAGCACAGTGCTCTTGAAGAACAATGGTGTTCTTCCTTTGACCGGCAAGGAGGTTAAAGTGGGCGTTCTCGGCGAAGACGCTGGTTCTAACCCGTGGGGTGCTAACGGCTGCCCCGACCGCGGCTGTGACAACGGCACTCTTGCTATGGCCTGGGGTAGTGGTACTGCTAACTTCCCTTACCTTGTTACCCCCGAGCAGGCTATCCAACGCGAGGTCATCGACAACGGCGGCAATGTCTTCGCTGTGACTGACAACGGAGCTCTCAGCCAGATGGCAGCCGTTGCATCTCAATCCAGGTGAGTGGCGGCCCTTGAAAACACGTTCTCTGAACGAAGTATTGACCATTGCAAACAGCGTGTCTTTGGTGTTTGTCAACGCCGACTCCGGCGAGGGGTTCATCAACGTCGACGGCAACGAGGGTGACCGCAAAAATCTCACTCTTTGGAAGAACGGCGAAGCCGTCGTCGACACTGTTGTCAGCCACTGCAACAACACGATTTTGGTTATCCACAGTGTCGGGCCTGTCTTGATCGACCAGTKGTACGATAACCCCAACGTCACCGCCATCATCTGGGCCGGCTTGCCGGGTCAGGAGAGTGGCAACTCCCTTGTCGACGTCCTCTATGGCCGTGTCAACCCCAGCGCCAAGACCCCGTTCACCTGGGGCAAGACTCGCGAGGCTTACGGTGCTCCCTTGCTCACCGAGCCTAACAATGGCAACGGCGCTCCCCAGAATGATTTCAGCGAGGGCGTCTTCATCGACTACCGTTACTTCGACAAGCGCAACGAGACCCCCATTTATGAGTTTGGCCATGGCTTGAGCTACACCACCTTTGGTTATTCTCACCTCCGAGTCCAGGCCCTCAATAGTTCGAGTTCGGCATACGTCCCGACTAGCGGAGAGACCAAGCCCGCGCCAACTTATGGTAAGATCGGTAGTGCCGCCGACTACCTGTATCCCGAGGGTCTCAAGAGAATCACCAAGTTTATCTACCCTTGGCTGAACTCGACTGACCTGGAGGCTTCTTCTGACGACCCGAACTACGGCTGGGAGGACTCGGAGTACATTCCCGAAGACGCTACGGATGGTTCTCCTCAACCCCTCCTGAAGGCTGGCGGCGCGCCTGGTGGCAACCCTACCCTCTATCACGATCTTGTTAGGGTGTCGGCCACCATCACCAACACTGGCAACGTCGCCGGTTATGAAGTCCCTCAATTGGTGAGTCGACTCGCAGGTTTCTTGCCTTGCATTTTGGCTAACTCGCTTTTAGTATGTTTCCCTGGGCGGACCGAATGAGCCTCGGGTCGTTCTACGCAAGTTCGACCGAATCTACCTGGCTCCTGGGGAGCAGAAGGTCTGGACCACGACTCTTAACCGTCGTGATCTCGCCAACTGGGACGTGAAGGCTCAGGACTGGGTCATCACCAAGTACCCTAAGAAAGTGTACGTCGGCAGCTCATCGCGTAAGCTGCCTCTGAGAGCGCCTTTGCCCGCTCTCCACTAGCCGATGAGATGATGAAATTGTACAGAATAAATGTTTGGTTCATGTGATGTACAGAGCAGTCGTCTGCTTCATTATATGAATTAATGACGATGATGAGCTAGTCCAACTTGATGTGCCTCCATCCACACCAGTAAACAATATAATAGATACCTTGCGGATGGTAAATCCACACGCCGGTTGACTGCCAAGCTAGCCCTTGCTTGTTCCCCCAGTGGAATAGGTATGCATACTATAGGAAACCTTGCCTGATCCAGATTGACTTCGCATAATTTTGGAGAATTTGCTCCGAAATAACAATGTCTCGTTCTATAGCTCTGGTTGGTTGACGGCCCACGACTTTGTCGAAAGGTAGCACTAGTTGTCCCCCGGCGATAGATGTCGTGTTATTGTTCCGGTATAACCGGATGGTTGCAGAAGGGCGAGCTGCAGGAAAAGACCCTGTGAATATCTCCCAACACTGCATGGTGACCTCGGGATTCGCCCGGTTGATACCAATGGTGACAACGAGTTTGACTGACGAGGTAGGGGTCTCCAACCACGCTCGAGCATCCAGAGCCAGGTACCGAGCAGATTCTGATAGACTTACTATGACTACGAAGTTTAGCTCAGTATTGAATTGTACAGGACCCCAGGAGCAATCCGCTTCCTTTTTCCAGCTCCCGATGGTGACGGTGGTCGACCCAAGGGGGTCCACATCCCAATCCACACCCATAGAGTGCAGCTCGAGACCGATGAGCACATCGAACGACCGCGCGGCCAGGTCCTCTTCAGGACTGGCCTTCACTTTTGCTATCAGAGTTCTCGTTGTCTCGTTGTAAGAAAATCGACAGTACTTGCTTGTCCGCGACCCATCGTCGGTTATATTGGAGTGGACCTCTGGCGGGACAGCAGTGTAAACCAGGTACTGCTCGCGGGATTTGTCTTGTGCAAGGGCTTCGCGCCGGCTGTCCAAGGTCCTGTGTAGACCCTGACTGCTGGTGAATGGACGGTGCGGCAGTCCCTGGACTAGTTGCGCTGCAGCGTCGCCAGTGTTGTACCTAAGAGCCGAGGGGGGTTCCGAAGATGCGGATTGTGCCGGGAGCTCCATTGTCGGCTGTCCGAAACGCCTCGACCAGGTCAAAGGAAAAGCAGCGAGATCGTCTGTTCTCTATCGGCTTGATGTTGTTTGCGACTAGTTGGATACTTTGCGTGTCGATAGCTTGGTGGTGCTGGGAGGTACGGGGTGTCGTGTATGACTCTTTCAGTTTTGACGTCATTTGCTCGGCCACCCATGGGCTAATTGGTACAGTTCAAAAAGATACAGAGCCGTTATATCGATTTGACGGGTCAAGGTCTGATGTATCATATGTTCCGCGTCTCCCTGGGCTGCGGAACCGGACCAGAGATAGGAGAGGAACATTAACTATCTCATTACCTGAAGCTTTCTTGCAAACTTCGACGTGCTCGAGTGGCACTACCTGCTCAGGATAGAGCCCGTGACCTTCCCAGCGGAAGACTGCCGGTCTGCAGGAATCAGACACAATCATAGGCCATGCCAGGATGGGAGATAACTTAGTAAGGTGGTATAGCCCCGACGGCTGTACACTAGGTACAACAACGGACCTATTGTCACCATGAAAGTTAGTTACGGGCCTTGGTTGATATTAGCTAAACTCAAGGATGTCACCTTAATCTGTGCCGACATAATGATGGGACGCAATGGCTCAGATCGAAATCTCCCTGCAGATGTAACAAGCTCGTTTGGGAAAGCGACCCCATGACGGTAAGCCGTCTGCTTTGGGGATGCGCTTTGACGGATTATAAGTACTTGATGTTCTAGCAAACGTGTATGCATCATTTCGTGAAGTTGGGTAATAGACTAAGGAGCAATTCTTATGACCAAGTGTAGAAATAAGGGAGACGCTTCTTATAGAATAGTGAATCAAATTGTAAGCTTAATCTTCGTAGTGAATACTAGACGGACAGAGAATAGAAATGACACTTCTCAATTCACTGTATCAAAAGGTGAAAATACCTTGTCTAGATATCTAGAGCTTGGAACCGTTTCATACTCGGCTGTTGACCTTCTCATAGTACTCGTATTCACCAACTTGAAGCATCCGCCATAAGTCGGGTGAAGTAGGGAGGTCCCCGGTCAATAGGCCTCGACCAACCGGCCGGCTGTCCGGTTCAGGGTTCACTGCTGTAGCAGCCAGTTTCTGTCGCAACAACTCTGTACATGCCTGCAATCCCAACTCAAAGCTCACCCAAACGAAGTGCGGTTCATCCGCCGCGCGATCTCCGTCCATCGCGATTCGCCAGTGTGACTGTGACCGTCACTGTGACCTGAATATAGACCCGTACTCTGGCTATAGGCACTATCTCCCACCGAAGGAACCATCCCTGCCTCCGATGGGAGAAGAGGAAGAGGTCTGTCAAAGTAATGCCGTTCGTACGGGGGCGGGAGGTCGTCCGGCTCCGGGTGGGACTGACTATGGGTGGGAGTCATGTCCATTGATCGAGAATGCTGCAGCGGAGGGGGGCGGTAGGCGGCCGCGGACCAGTTTACGTCGCCCCATGTTGACGAAGAAGTCGGGGAGCCGGTAGAGGGGCTGGTGACGACCCAGATACTCTCGCTTTCGACCCATGTGAGTCGGCGAGGACGGCTCCGCGCCGACGAGAAGCTGGAGAGATCTGAGTTACTGTGGCGATAGCTGTGGCCGTGGCTATGGCTGTGACCGTGACTGAGATTATGGCTAGAACTAAACCGGGCAGTTGAGTCGGGTTCGACTGCCGGGCCTGCTTGGACTCGAAGTTGGGGCCGTGCTGTGTGGCGGATGCAGGCCGGGTTGAGATACTTTGTTCGGCGAGGAAGGGCATGAGCGTCTGCGGACGCCGGTCTTTGCAGGAGGTGGAATCTTTCTGTTTCTGGACTGGCGAAGAAGGCATGGTCGAGGTGTATCTGAGGAACAGACATGTTGCCAGCCGGTTCGGCGAGCCGGGGATTGCGGATCGGGGGGCCTTCGAGTGTAGAGAGATCCATGGGAAGCGAGTACTCCGTACACAGCCTGGAATCGATGGAACAAGGGTCTTCTTTAATTATCGCTAGATGCGGTCGAATTGGCCCTGAGATCGAACCCCACGAGGATTCATGCAATGAGTGGCTCGAGAGTACGAGGCCCGAGAGTCGATGGAGCCAAAAATAAGGTGCGAATACGATGCGACCCAGATGAAAAGTGGATCGACACTTTTGAACAAAGTTAATATGTCATATGTCGCAATCAGAATAGAAGCAGATTTGAGTGAGAGCATCCCGGCATCACTTACCTATATATGTTGTGGGTGGAAGGCCGAAATCATGCTGGAGAGGCAGTGCGACAACACAACAACAAAGAAAACCAACAGACAACAAAGGTAAGGACTCCCTGCGCCTTTGATCGGGTCAGTCGGTGTCAGACTGGGGCACCTTGACCCTAGCCAAGTTTATGGATGCCATGCCATGTTCGTGCTATTCCCGAGTCCCCATAGGCGATCTGGGGCTCGGATGGATCTCTTGGACAACCGACAGCGGAGAACCAACAAGACACCTCGCCGTGAGAGGTGAGAAAGTGAAAATAATGGTATTTTGGCCCCGCAGATCCATCAAGAGTGTCGGCGACAAGCGCAAGGCGAGAAAGATTCGCTAAGCCGCTTGTTGGACGGAGCAGGTTGATGTAAGGCGCCCCGACATGGCCAGAACTCAAGCTCACTTGGACGCCGGGCGGATAGACAACAATCATCGAGTGTGACTCTAGTCATGTGTCGAGTCTAGTCATGTGTCGGTATGGATAACTCACTGCGTCGGTTTCGCTTCTTTGAGTATACGAGGTTGAATCGCAAAAGCCAAGAGAAGAAGCGGCTGTTGCTGTTAGTCGCTGGCATGAATCATGATATGTTGGATAACAATGACCAGTTGAGAACACTGCCACAAAACCAAGTATTTTATTATCCTATATCAGCATATAAACGGTTCCCTGGCCCGCTAAAATATCCCTTGTCTTCAAAGCCTCAATTCAGCCCCATGTTGTTACTTATCTGGCCTTACTGCAGCTTCCTAACTTTGCGTCTGCTGTCTCTTTGTTACTTGTACGGAGTACTGACTTGGAAGAACATTTCTTCGAGCGTCGGAAGAATAAATATCAACTTTAAATGATGGATTAAAACTGTGAGAATCGCCTGGTGTTCATCTACAGAACACTCCTAGTGTCCTGTGCCGCCCACCTTCGACTCAGCCTTCTAGAAGAAGTGACTCGTGCTTTCAAGTATTCGAGATGCTACATGCACATTTCTTTTCTATCACTTGTTATGAGTGCATAAATCAGATTAAGCTGCTTTGCATCGGCCTCATAGAGGGCGATCGCTTATTTTGTGTCTCGGCAGTTGCTGTACATCCTTACGAACCAGGCGATCATTCCCAAGATGAGACATGATCTCCTTTTTTCTTTAAACACTAGACACAATGAGATGAACATTACAATTAAATATGTTCAAGTTACATCATCATATTGACAAGTCGAGAATACAATGTAAGAAAAAGATATGTATAAGCAAGGATATAAACTACTCTCCCAAAAAGAAAGCCCAACTATTTGACACACACCCGTCACTCCATCATGACAAGTTCATCCAGAAACACGGTCCTGGAGCCTCGAGTGACCGGGGTTCACACTATGGACAAGAAGTGAACTGCTCTAAGCCAGGAAGAAAGCGGCAGCGGCGGCAGCACCAGCGAAGAGGAAAGAGCCGCTGAGGGTGTTACCAGCGCCAGTGGAGAGACCACCAGGAGGAATGGAGGAAGGACTGTGACTTGTCAGTGGATATTCAGTAGACAAATCTGGTGAGATGAGAACTTACGTAGCGCTGGGGCTAGGCTTGCCGGTAGGAGCAGAGGGGATGACGGGGACGGAAGAGTGGGCACCGGCACCGGCAGGGCCGCTAGGAGTAGCGACAGGGACGGTGATGTAGGTGACGGTGGGCACGCAGGTGGTCACAGCAATGACGGAGACGCTGGGGGCGGGAGCAGTGTGGGAGGGAGCAGGGATCACGGGAACGCTGCTGGCGCTGCTGCTGCTGCTGCTGCCCTTGCTGCTGGCGGAGTGAGTCTCAGCGGGAGAAGAGACGGTGGTAGGGGCAGCGGAAGAAGTGGTCACGGCGTTAGCACCCTCGGGGGTGGAGGTGTGACGAGCAGGGCAGTTGGTGACGGTGGGAGCGCAGGAGGTGATGGTAACATCCTGGGTCTCGTAGACGGTCTGAACGTCACCGTTGGGGAGAGCAGCGGCAAGGCCGGCGAAGAAAGCAATGGAAGCAGCAGTGAAACGCATCTTGAATATTGGTTGGTTGGTTGGTTTATGTAGAAAAGTCACTGGAATTAGCCGTCAAGGCAATTTTATGTTGTGGTTAAAAGAGAGTGTGGGTAGTTGGTTTGGTTTGAAAGAGTGGCCGACCGAAGTCAAGTTGAATCGATGCTTGAAGCAGGAAGGTAGTCTTGGGCTTGGGAGAAAGAAACAAGAAGAAAGAGCGAAGGAACGATGGAGGGGGCGCTGGGGGCCTTTGTATGAACGGGGAGATTAAACCTGGAGATCGTCTCAGGGGAAAAAAGGCAAAGAGAGACTCGACCGTGTCGGGTGGAGAGCGAGGGGGCTGCACCACCAGCACCATATTGTTATTATTATTATTATTCTTATTATTATTGCAGTACTAACTAGGTACAGTAAGTCAGTAACGGAGTGTTCTCTATTCAGCCTGTAAGTTTCATCCAATAATCCGCTAAATTGGAACGGCTTCACTAGATCTAAGTCAATCAATGTTATTATTGCCAGAATTATGAATCTCCTGACTAGCAATCTAAGATTAGAGGGTTGCGCCAAAGTCGCGGTGTACATCTGGACACCAAAGTTGCTCCATATTCTATACTGAAGTGAAGGTAAACAGTATGAGATACCTAGGAAATGCAAATGTTATTACACAATGTATGTCCGCTCATCCATCACATCTCATCGCCATACCATTATGTACCTTACTGTATGCTCATGATTATGTGGTACCGCTAAAGTACGCTCGTGGGATGATTTGACAGAGGCTGGCCTATAGCATCAGCTGGCCTAAGACAGTATCCTAGTGCTTAGCTGGTCAGCATGAGTGCGACCCTGCGTGGTGTTGATCCCGCAGTTCCATTGCTTGTTCGAGTATCGCCGACCAAAAAAAGCGGTCCAATCGTTCGTTCCTGAACCCCTGAGTCTCAGGAACTAGCGAAGTTAAGAGGCTTTTTAGTTACGTAGTATTTCTGGGCATTCAAGCCGTTTTCTACTCCGTATACTCGTTCTATCGCATTGTAATAATGTCAGGTTTCCTTCCATTACAGAGTGCAGCTTTGATCAAACCTACTCTTCATTACAAATGGGTACAGGATCAAAATGATAGAGTAATGAACCCGCAACTACCCATCTCATCTGCCAAGCGATACAACGTCGGGACTTGGGAGTTACCTGTTTCACGTTTTCCGCTGTGAACCAATCAGAGTTCATTGGTAGCCGTTCCTGAATCCGTGGGCCACTCAGAGGTCTCTTTTGTTTTCCCGCTGTGGCTCTCCAACCCCGCTTTGTGTCCAATGACCTGAGATCTAGTGGAGCCACAGTGCTCCACCTGCCCCTAAGTCCTTTATTTTGATTTCAATTCAATTTGGCGGTCTCACTCAGGGACGGGCGACAGAGCGCCAGGCTGAATGATTGTGGTTCCTGAAATTTTTGGAACTCTGGATCTGAACATGTCCGGATCCAGCACTTCAAGGGATGATCATGTCCAGGAACCAAGGATTGTTAAGAATAGTTCTGGGGTCATCTTGGAATCAGGCACGATGACCTCGTGAGTCAGTAATCGCCCTGGATTGATGCAAGTTACATTGACATGCTGTGACGCAGTATGCCAGTCAATGCACAGACCCAACAACCTGTACCGGAAATTGGCCTTGAAAATGCAACCCTGCCAGGGACCAGGTCTGGATACCACTACCAAAACACTGACTTGACAGAAACCTGAGCGAGAGCTTCGAGACCAGGGCCTCTGAGACGCCACAGTCACACTTGTTGTATTGCTTAATTAAAGCTTAGTGGTAGGCATCTACTGTTGCACTACTACTGGTACTATTGGTCTTGTGAGCAGAAAGAGAGAACCATTAGGCTTGGAAAGACAAGCCACAGAGGAGAGACATGGCTAAGATGTTAATGAATTGCTCCTCTGGTTACCCCTGACTAAAAGCGAGCATATTCAAAACTATAACTTTTGATTGGCTATGTAGAGCCGGTAATAGGCGTCAAACCCAATTCACCTAAATTCAGAGCATGTACGGAGTACTCCATAGAGACGCACATTTTCCGAAGCGATGTAGATATCCACTGAGTTCAAAAGATAGGACAAGCATGACTCTAATCATTAGGCCTGGGTCTGATGGAAAAGGGGTTTGGTCCATCCTTCTGTACTACTGCAAGCAAACTACCGAGTAGACTATTTAGTCCGCTAGTCAAGCCAATGTTGCTTTGATTAGAAACGGGTTATTGATTATGGAGAGTGGTCACCGGAGTCGATACTATAAACAGAAGACTGTTTAGTCACTCATTGACACTCAGAGACATACTGATCACGGAGCACTTCAGGGAACGCAACAATATGGTCTGTGCCTATACTAAGTATTTGGTAGGATATGGGCAGGGACAATGGTCCACAGATCAACAGGGGCAGTCTATCATTCATTGCTCACTGAACCAATCCCGAGAAGCTTGCAAATTTTGTAGTGGCAGTCAGCTCCATTCTTTAAAATCAAACGGATTATGCATGCAATATTTCGAATAGATGTCCCAAGCGAGTCAATGACGAAGTCGCTATATTGTGCATGACCATTCCTTTCTTGCAAGTATCTGGACGATCTACGAGCAGTGGGGATTGCAAAGGCTAGAGCCGCGCGTCTATGATGTATTAATTGGAGAATGTACCCCTCTAACAGCGACCAGG